TGGCCACTTTGGATTGCAGCCATGAGCAAAGTGAACAGGAGTCATCCACTCATGCTGCTCCTTGGAGTAAGATTTCTGAGGTTTTGCAAAGGTCCTGTGATTAGAAGGCCTGCCCATTCCCATCTCCAGAAAGAAGGAATGCTGACTAATTACCATTTCTAGCCCTTGCACCATCTCTTCATGTACAGTAGAAAGCAAACACAGCAGAGGTGGAAATCCCTCCAGCCAAATCAGTGAACATTTCATYTGTGCTTTATGGAAGGCACACAGASAGAAACAYGGAGAAACCCAGAGTGWGCAGGAGCCCAACATCAGAATACAATAATTCCCMAACTGGCTGCACTGAAGGTGACACAGCCCCCGACAGACAGGAAACAAACACCGTCAGCTATTGGACGTGCAGGCAGAGCTGCTGTAACCATTGCAGCAGCAGGAATTTGGAACTAAGCAAGGAATTTAAAAAGGAAGATTTTTTTATCAGGACTAAACTTCCAAACATAATTAGTTAGTGTACACAGAACCCTGAAGAACATAGGACAGCTTTTCCTATTTTACACAGAGGACTTGCCATTGCCTTGAAGAGCCTGGGGACTAAGAGGCAGAAAGAAGGGGAACAGCTCAGACACGCTGTGAGTTCAAGACATGCTGAACCATGCTTCCCACAGGTCAGAAGAATGACCATGCAAAGACCTCTTGTGGTGTAACCAGTGACACTGAGCAGCTGCTGCCTTGGCTGACAGCAAGGCTGGGCACTGAGCTGCTCTGCACACCTGCTGTCTATGTGGGGTACCAAAGGAATAAACACATGCCTTGCTKGTGTTTTTTGTTAGAAGTGGCTCCTTGGCTTCCCTTGCACTCATCCAATGAGATGCCTGCAAGAGCACCTTTATTTACAGGAGCTTCTTTATTAGAGCCAGGCAGACAGCAGGAACAAGCTCATTACCTCCCAGCAAAAGGTATTGCAGGGTTCTCTGGCTGCCAGCTTACTCCTCTGGACACCTGATCCCACAGCCCTGTGACTGATCCAGGCACTGATCCAGGTTCAGCAGCTTCTCCACTAAGCCAGTGAACATTTCCAACTATGCCAGAAAAGAACATCTCCCCATCCCCCTCTATTTTCCACCACAGAAAAAAAAACTTTACAATTCCAGGGAGCACCAGAAGGTTTTCCACGAATTGCATCCATATCTCCATKTATGTACATAAGGGTGTCTCTCCTTCCTGGGGTGGGGCTACTGAGCTCAACAACTTTTTCCCTAAGGAGGGCCTCTGCAGGAGGCACAAATGACCATTTCCTGTGCAAGGAGGGAACTTAACTACTGAGATACCACAGATGCAATAAAACTTCCCTTTGTGTCCCTGTGGAGACCCATACTTCTCTTCACACAGCCACAGAACACAGCATCACACATACTTCCCCTAGGATAAGCATCCTGATTCATGCTTTGACCAACATAAACCGGCATTGCTCTGAGGATTCCATGGACTCTAAGATGGTTTATTTCCCTCTGTCAAGCTGGGATTTAGTGTTAAGATTACGCAAACACACAGAAAATAAATCTCCATGAGCACTTCTTAAGCCTTTGCATGCACATAATTAAACTGCAGAAGCACAACRTTTAAGATGCTGCTACTGTTATTTATCTCTGTTTTAAATAGATTGATTGGTTGAGCTTTTTTTTTTTTTTTCTGCTCCTGCTACCCAATGGAGAAAGTCTCTACAGTTCAGCAGCACATTTCCTGRTGGCCACATGGTGACAGCTGACAAACAAACCTGAATGTCAAATAACTGTTATTTCATCTCAGATCCAGCCTGAGACAAAGTCCTGGTTAAGATAATAATTTAAAATAATTAAATATATAAATGCTGTAAGCAAACCAGGAAGAGTTCTCCAAAGTGCATCCCAAGCAATGCTACTCAATCTAGTAGACCAACAGCCTCCTTTCTGTAGTCTTAGACTAAAAGCATCCCCTCAGCTTGCTTTCTCATTTTCTGTTGACCTTCTCATGCTTTAGGAGAACAGCTAACTTCTACAGATGGGGGGTTGATAGCCAGCTTTGCATTTGAAAGCAGAATCCACCTCCTGTCCCCAAAATAGAAGCAATTCAGCAGTTCCAGCCCACCCTGAGATGAGGGCTGTCTAGGACAACACTCACATGCCACGCAGACAATTGAGATGCTGTTGGTTAACTATGAGTCAGAGGGACCTTGGTACCAGCTCAAAGACAGCTTTTCAGTGATTACAGCTTCACATCCCATCATTTGTTCAGGCTACTGTGCTCCCAAAGCAGGCACAACAAACCCCATACAGCTCACCAAAGTGACATTATTCAAGACTTTACCAAAAATATATTCCCTACTTGGTATTAGAGATAAAAGAATCCAGTAATAGCTGCATTTTAGCATTCCTCGTGACTGAAAAAGTTCATTCTCATCATGTCAAATAAGCCAGTTTTTCTCATCCAGGCCAGTGACTTTTACATTTATACAGACAGGTAGCCATCCTCAAAGCTTCAGGCTAGAGTTTGTGAAAAGCTGCAGGATTTGAGGTATGCACAAGGAGGAGACTACAAAGCCAGCGTAAAAACTTTGCACTTGTTTGGCATATAAAGGTGTATTTCCTGGTGTGCTGGATTCCAACAGCCCCTGAGAGATGGTAGAGGCATGACAGAGGCTATTTTCCAGAAAATCCTTGGGACAAGAAGCTATTCATGCTACAGCACTGCACTATGCATAATCAAGTAACTTGTAAACACATTGATAATCACCCAGATTATTCTAGTGGGAAAACTGCAATGCGTTTTCACATCAGCAAACAGAAGAACCTCAAAGCTGGAGGGGGCACTTCAAATGCAGGATATCGCTGTTGTAACCCTGAACAATAAATCCAAGATCCCTACAACTTAATGGTAAAGTGCTTAACAAGAGTTAGGCAAGGTCATATCAGACTGCAAATACCTCCTGATCTCTTATATAAATGTWAGGTGCCCTGCATCAGTAATATGCATGCCCAATGCTGCTTTCTTTGGTATTCTCAATTAYGCCTTTGAAGCCTACAGTGTGCTCTCCTAGTTTGGGCTCAGCTGTACCTTCCACCCTGTCCCCTTTTCCCCCTATGATTTCATCCTGACCTCTGGACCTCTGTCTGGAAGCTGCACTGTCAGGACAGTTTATTACACGGACATGGCATGGTGATACCATGCTCCAGCCACACACCCCATTTGCTTTTACTTTCAGAAGTCAATTCTGTTGCCTTAGAGCTGCTCTCTACCCAAGACACYTGTCAATCACTCAGGTGAGTCAGAAGAAAACTATTTCAGAGAAGACAAACAAGATAGAACTGGAACACCCAAGAGCCAAGGCTTGGCTACCTTTAAATAGTATGGTTTGCCCTCCTTCAGGAGGTAGGTGAGTGCTTCCTAGAAGGTGGCCCTAACTCAGTCCTCTTAATGCCTCCCACTGTTTCTCACAGGGAGTGGGAAAATCTATYCTGATTCACAGAAAGCTCTCTACCAGGCTGGATGCCTCCCAAAGGGCAGTGCTGGCACGCTGTGGATGCTCTGGACATATAAATAGCAAGGACAAAGTAGACAYGATGACAGGATTGCTCAGCACTCAGAATGGCCTCTGAGCAAGGCAAAGGAATTGGGTTCTGCCATGAGTCCGCCTCACATTTGTGCCACGCCTTTGAGGAGGCACAGGGATCACCCAGGTGAGGAACTAATTGGGCAGTTACCTCTTCAACACAAGCAACAGCAATTAAACAACTAAACCCCTGGCAGCTATCTGCAAATGGATCCCTACACAAAGGATTAGGGATCATTAATCCTTGTCAATGATAGAGGTTGGCAACAGGGCATCATTACAGTCTTTGATATCTCAGATTGGGGTTAAGAGCTSCCTATAAGATCCGAAAGTTATGGTTGCACTTCATTGGGCACTTCTGTAAACAAAATATTCAGGAAGGGAAACCTCAAACCTACCTACACAGAAAATGCTAACTTGTTGCATGAACGAACGCTACATCTCAAAACCACCTGTCTCCAAAAGCAAAAGTGAGTGCTGTGGAAAAAAAAAAAAAACTGTGATCAAGGTGATTCAAGCAGCAAACAGCTCTGGCTGCACTTCGCTATAGGAGAGGCTCATAATTCTCTGAGACTAAATAGATATACATGATTCTCTCAAACCACATTATCCTTTCAAGCTTAAGAAACTTTTCTACATTTGTTATTCTCAACATAAAAGCTTCCAGGTACAGACTCTTAACACGTGTTTGTTGGCTCACTCCCATATGCAAAACAACAAAGAGCYAGGAGGCACCACAGACTATTTCCTTCAGCTGCTCCCCAGACATAGGGATATACTACACTGTGCTTGCTTCAGAGATAACTTCTTAAGGTTATTCTATAACTTGAAAACAAAATAAAATCTAGTTAAATTGGAGATTTAGCTCTTGCAGAGGGCAAGAGAATTCCTCAGTGCCCAAGACCCCAAGGAATAACCCTCTTCCAGAAATACATATGCAGACTGAGAGACGTGCTACTCAGAGATGCTGCCCAACTCTCTTCTGCACACGCAAAATCCATGTCTCCATCTCCAGCTGCTCTACCTCTCGTTCGCAGCCCGCAAGGACCGGTGCCCACACRGCGAGAAGCTCCTCTCCTCCCCAAGAGACTCTCCCAGACCTACACTCAACCAAGGCAAACGCACAAACCAAGCCAAACAAATCCACATTATTTGTCTGTGCGTGTGGGTGTCAGAGCCAAGAACTCTGTCCTGACTTCCCAACATCAGCGGCCTCCCTGACCTCAGCCACCCGTCAGGGACAGGGGAGCAGGGCCTTAAAAACAAAGCGCCGGGCCCATTTAGGGAGGAGGAGGAGGGCGCAGCGCTATTTACACGCACATACACACCCACAGCCCTCGCTGTTGCTCTAATTAACAAATTAGTAGTAACGAAGGGAAGAGGCGAAGGAGCGCCGGGCTGGGCCCGCGCTTACCGAGACAGGCGCCGCTGACGAGGGCAGTGGCGGTGAGCGCCCCGGCCGAGGCGCCGTACACCTTCTTGGCGTTGGTGACCAGGAACGGGGCATGTTCCTGCAGGCAGCTGGCCACGCCGATGTGGTAGACCCCCAGGAAGCCGCAGCCGGCGAAGGAGATATTCCAGGTAGAGTCCAGCGGGAACATGGCCTCCGTGCCCCGCTGGAGGCGGGGGGTGCTGGAGGGAAGCAGCAGCAGCCGCGGCGGGGAGATGAAGCCGCGGGTCTCTTCGGKACGGGCGGGAGAGCCGGGAAGAGCWGCTGTAAAGGACAGATCACGGAACACGGCAGGGTTTGCCGCTGGGTGCGCAGCGCCGGCTGCCAAGCTTATATGCGGCGGCCCGGCCCTCGGGCCCGCCCCCGGCATGGCCGCCGCCCCTCAGCAGCCCCGGCCCGGCGGGATGGCCCGGCCCCTCCTGCCAACCCTTCCTCCGGTGAACCCCGCTCCCGGCCCGGGGGCAYTGCGGGCTCTCGCCGGCTGCCGAGCCGGGACAGCCGTGCCAGCGCCGCCCTGGAGCGGCAGCGGCCCAGCCAGCTTCTCGGAGGAGAGGGTTGCGGCTCCTCGCAGCAGCCCAAACCTCGCCCTGTACCGGCGCAAAGGGCTGTTCCTCCCTCTCGGGACATCTTGGTTCTTGGCACCTGCTCCAAGTCCTCGCGGTTTGCTTTGTTTTTCAGGGAACGGGCAACAAACGTGAGAGAAAGAGGAAAGCTTTCCCCTTTCATTAAAAGGCTGAGGAGTCAGAAGGAGGAAAGTCTTGTCACAGTAATAGGGCAAGAACTGTGAAAAAAAGCAATTCTTGTGTCATCCCCCCAAAAAACTTTCTCTGCCCCTGAACTCATAGAATCCTTGGAAGGGACCCACAAGGATCATCGAGTCTAGCTCCTGGACCTGCACAGGATGTCCCCAACAGTCACACCATGTGCCCAAGAGTATTGTCCAAAMACTTGTTGAACTGCTGTGAATGCTTGTGCTGTGACCACTTCCCTGGAGAACCTGTTCCAGTGCCCAAACGCCCTCTAGGTGAAGAACTTCTTTTTAATATCCAGCCTAAACCTGCCTTGACACAACTTCAGGCCATTCCCTCGGTCCTGTCACTGGTCACCAGAGAGAAGACATCGGTGTCTGCCACTCCTCTTCCCCTCACTGGAAGTTGTAGACTGTTGTATACTAATCACAAAAATACACACAGTTGGTTACCTTAGCTAACCTTTTCTCAACTTTTTTTTTTTTTTTTTTCTCCACGTACCTCTAAGCTCCCCAAAATGGTTAGATATATTCAGGGCAGCTATAATATTCAATAGTAGTTCTGCACAAGCTTTCCACGGAGCAGCACTGGGTGAGAGGCCAGTGCTAGCAGATCATCAAAATAGATTTCAGAAGCTGTAAATAGCTCCCTGCCGTAAACAATACAGACTATAGTTATTCAAATCATTAGGTAAGTRTGAAATATTATAGAGACATCAAAAATATCAGCATAGCAAGAGAAGCAGCTGCTCTACTCAAAGACAGGAAGCAAGATCAGCAGGAGGGATGTTTGGGGGATACAGAACAAAAAAAAAAGCACAGATAGGTTTTTAATGGAAGCAACACAGAGCAAAAAGTGCCTCCTACCAAAGTTTAAAAAACTTCTTAACTCATCTTGGCATAAAGCTTTTTGGATTAGTTTTCTTATGATTCGTCAGAAGTTTCCCATTTGGGATAGCATTACACCTGTCCTTAACAGCTCTCAGACTAASCAAAGCCAGGCCTTCCTCCCCACAGGAATTTCACCAATTACACTCGTGGAGGTCAACCAAACCCTCTCCTGTTCCTTCCACTCCAACTATCCTTTCAAATGATCTGAGGGAGGCTGATACCCCCCCCACAGAGGGACCATACAGGTTGCAGGAACAGCTGTTTAATGCCTCTCTCTACTGCCCCACAGTCAGCTGACTGAAGTAACTAATTTCAGCATATAACCCTGGTATAAATCCAATWTTTGAGTTAGAACGCCATACTCCAGCCTCTACACAAAGAGCACTTTTTCATTGTTCACTCTTTTCTTTAATCAGACAGGCAAAAGTACAGCTTTATTTTTCTTTCAGGTCCTGCCCCTGAGCCCACCACCTCACCTACCTGSCAGGAACTACCCTTCATATATATTAGCTGATCCTGGAGCACATAAAAAAAATTACCCCAGCTTATCTTAAGYCCTCTATACCCACCCTTCTCTCCCTTCCTCTCATACCTCTACTTGCTTTTGTAATTTCCTTCCTCCCTTGCATTTGATGTGGTTACGTAACCCTTGTCAGCCCTCATCTCCTCCACCTGGAGAGGTGAGCCCTGGCACACCTGAGCCTTGATTCTCTTACACCAAGTTGATCACAGAGCTTCCCCCCCTGCTTCTGATGACACAGGAAGGTATTTTCATGTAGTCAAACCCAGAGCAAACATTGTRTCTTGCCTTTTCCAGAACAGGGATTGTTCTGCAGAACTGGTAAGTGGGCTGTGACTTTTGCAGAAGTCTGTGGCAAAGCTGAACACTGAACCTTGTTTGCAGATACCTTCCAAACACTTGTAACCACAAGAACATCTTCATTGTCACTCCAACGCTGGTACCTCCTTTTCCAGCATTTCACAAGCCTTAATGTTCCTAGCATGTCTGGAAAACAGAAGCAACAATGCTGTGACAATGCTGGAGTTAGTTTCACTTGATTTCCCAACAGCAATCTCATCCTGAGTTGTTTACATCACTGTGCCTTGGCCCTCAAGATTACTTATTAGAGAAGGTTAATGGTGCCCTGTTGAAACAGGCCGGTGTAAGGAACCATGTGAACACTAATCTCTTGTAGAGTGCTGCCTGGGTACTGGCACGAGCAGGCTGACAAACAACTTTGCTTTTCCCAAAAATAAATTAGCCCCCAAAACTAATCTCTTTCTCCCCAGTAAGAAAGTCTTATAGTTCTGCTAGGGCTCACAATACAGCAGTAAGCCAGATCAGCAAGATTTACAAGGCAGCTTTTCCTGTGTGTCAAACTCCAACTGGAATTCTTCAAATCCACTCATGCCCTTACAGGCTGAGGCACTGAGGCAACTTCACATGCCATCTGTCATCGTGTTTATTTTCTAGCCTAATGAATGGTGAGCTGTTAGTACCTACGAGGTGATAACATACAAGCAAACAATCTGCTTTTTCAGGCAAGGCCTTGTTTTTGGCCTGCCATTGGGTATTCAGGGGAAGATGAAGCAGCCTGTTACAATGTTGATTCCAGCATGTTACTTTAGCATTGTTGTCCATAGTCAGCAAGAAAGGCACGCTATCSTGAGGCTCAACCCAACTGCTCTTCATATCACTGAAGAGTGGGAGTTTAATGTCTTTTTTTTTTACCTGTGATGTTTGTGTTTATCAGGTCAGACTCTTGGGACTTGTTTCATAGGAGCATCTCCTGAGGTCCTGCCCTCTCAGGATTGAATTTTTCTTCTAGGAAAGGTACTTCAGACGTGTGCCCTACATGAGTTAAACCTCCTGAGTTCAGCAGGCCTGCCTGCATGTAGCAGCTTGCAAAATTTGGCCTTAGTAGTAAAAGTGAAAAGTTAATTTGAGCATGCCCCCAGGGAGCTATTGCTTAGTGCTTTACAGTAGTGTCCAGGACRTCCTCCCTGCTTTCCAAGTAGTGAAGATGTCACATCCCTCTCCTTGCCACATGGTGTTTGCAACAAATGATTTTCAGTGAGAGCTGATTTGAGTTGGCACAGCATTTGTGTCCCAGTGAGGAAAGCCTGCACGTTTCAACGTCAGGCCTATGACTAAATCACTCTCCTCTGCTATCAATTTGGTAATGATCAGTTACCAGTGTAATCTCCAGGCACAAGACTTCCTTTCTCTTAAATGCCCTTGAGCCTATCCTTTATGAAGAATTCAGGAAAAACCTTTTCTAGCTAAAATTGATTCTGCAAGGGGACAGACTAGGCCAGAAGTCCAAGTATTTGCAGGCACTGGTTTTCTCTAAGAGCATCATGGAACATAATGCAACCACCCCACRAGTTCCCTTGCCTTTGGAAATCATTGCTAAGTCTGAAAGGGCATCACTGACACTTGAAAATTCAGAACAATGACTCCAGAGCAGAAGCAGAAAAAAATCCCATTTCCTTCACAGCTGAAGCTTATTGAAATCAGAACAGTAGTAAACTCCATCCAGAGCATCAAACAAGTCCACAACAGACTTCCAGGCACATCATTGCTCCTGTACAAAGATATCAGGTGGCAACAGTTTCCTAAATAGGTAAGGAAGAGGAAAAAAAGCTTAATAGGTTTTCATTTTATGTGCAGAAATGGGCATCTTGTAGAGGTTTTAGCAAATTCTGTTGAATATGTGTGAAACCTGAAAGCAGAGCAGCGCCCTCACCTTCTCAAGGAACACCTAGGAGGTGGTTGTTACATTTGTCTCCTTGCAGCACTGTGGCCAGTGCTTTATTTTCAGTGCTTTCTCTGACAGCTGCCCCAAGTTCCTTCTAAGAGTTTACTAAATCAGCTGTAGTTTCTCCTCAAAGCAGGTTGAGGGAGAGTTTTCATGAAAATTAAGCACTTTCACCAAGGAGGTTAAAAGTTGTAAGAGGACACCCAGGACAGGATCAGGTCCATAATTCAAGGTTAACAGGTTATACAGAGAAGATAGGAAAAAAMAGAATAGAATGAAAAAAGTCTAGATGTAGTTGTACTCCTCCCRTCACCAGAGTAGCCAGCAGCTGGCACCAAAGGTTTCAATCTTATCCCACAGGCCTGGGCACAGCAAACTCATCAAATACTGCAGTGCCATTCAAGCAAATTCCTTTGTGCATGGAAAAACCCTACTGTGTGGTGTGCCAGGGCGGTCCCTTCCTGTGTAAACACTGATGGTGCTCTTGAAGCAGCAAAGGCACTACTGGGAAGGCACCTCTCAGTAAAACCACATCCAAGAACCAGTTTTTCAGTGACCTGAAATGGAGAAATCACCAAGAAAAGCAACACAGAACCCGGCCCCCCCCTTCCCCCCCCAGGGCTGAACCACTGCCATTACAAGTCTGACAGAGAACTACAGTGAACTTGAGTGATTTTCATTACTACCAGATCACCAGGATGGCACTTGGGAGACAAAGGTGAAAGGATTAAAGGCATTGGCACTGTTACCCTCCTGTATTTTTTTTCTTGCAGTACAGAAGAGCAGCAAAGGTCGGCTGCTTAAATCATTGCCATTTTGAGGCCCTAACTTTTAACTGCTCTCCTGCTTGGCTGTGAAGTATTGGCTGTTTTCTCTCAGTACACCAGACAAAAGGTTTTTGTACTTGGATTTCACCCACCTCTC